GATCAGTCATTGGAATCAGGGGGAGTGTGTATGGCAGACTGGGCTATGGGCTATGACTCCCTGAAACACCTGGGGATTGAGGCAGGCATGTTCCTGCAACACTCTGCAAGCCAAGGTGACTGAGCAGCCAGTTACAGCAACAAACAGCCTGCCTCTCCTAAGGGGGTAGGGGTGGGGGTAGGGGCGCTGAGTTGTCCTCAGGTGGGGACATCCTCAGATAAAGCTTAAATCAGCCAATGCACATGACTGAACTCCTACAGTGTCCCACACATTGTACTGGAGCACATTTTTTAGAGTTCCTGTTGTTATTTTGACCTGTGACAACAAAGTTTCTAACTATAAAATAGGATGTTGAGATAGAATCTTTGTTAATAGAGATATTATCATATTCCATTTTTCATCTTGAGCCACTCACCTGCAGTTTTAACTGCTGATTTCTGGTTCCCAACAGCCCATGAAATCCTGGCACTTTGCCCTATCAACACAGGAGTACCATCTGTGGTGAAAGAGAGTAACTATAGGCTATATAGTACTACAGTAGAGAAATAAGGTGGTTTTTAAATTTTTGTTTTATTCATTTTTTTGCCATTCTGCTTCCTCAACCTTTTTCTCGGGATGCATTATGGAGAATTGGCTGTATAGCCAAAGATTTGTGTTCATGGCACAAAGCTAAAAAACTGCCACCATCCTGGTGATAGAGCAGCATACTCTCTGGTAATAGGCAGGGACAGAGAAGCCAAGGCAAGAAAGCCAGCATATCCTCTTTGAAATGCTCATTTAAGTCAAGCTCCTGATTATATTTAAAGAGGAGTCATAATCATTAATTTCAAGGCCTTGGGCTGTCCTGGGAAGATACATGATAGTTACTGTATATTTCATCAATTATCTATCAGCCCATTGCATATTAAATGGCAAGAGAAAATCTCACCAGTTCTAGTCTTTTAATCTATTTCTGGTGTTCCCAGACCAGTCCTGGGATTAGATATGTGTGGGAAATGGCTGAGAATTGACAAGATATCTCAACAACTATCTGTGCATTACATAGAGATACCAAGTACTACTGGACAGAAGAAATGATATAAGGACGTCCTCAGATGAGGCTTAAATCAGACAGTGTGCCTGATTGAACTCCCATAGTGGGCTTGGCACTGAGGGAGAGGACAGATTCAAAATAAATAAAAGCCATAGTCCTGGCCCCTAGGGAATACACAGTTTAATTGGGGAGATAGCTCCACAAGGTAGTAAGTTCCACCTGAGTGGTTCAGGTAATTCAGGGGTCTTGATATGGCATGCCAGGAACTAGAAATAGGTGTAACACTGGGATCAGCTTTTTCTTTGAGACAGTCTCACTCTGTTGCTCCGGCTAGAGTGCTGTGGTGTCATTCTAGTTCACAGCAACCTCAAACTCCTGGGCTCAAGCAATCATTCTGCCTCAGCCTCCTGAGTAACTGGGATTACAGGCATGTGCCACCATGCCTGGCTAATTTTTTCTATATATTTTTAGTTGGCCAATTAATTTCTTTTTCTATTTTTAGTAGAGACGGGGTCTCACTCTTGCTCAGGCTGGTTTCGAACTCCTGACCTTGAGCGATCCGCCTGCCTCCCAGAGTGCTAGGATTAGAAGCATGAGCCACCGTGCGCAGCTGTGGGATCAGCTTTTGAACCAAGACTTTTGCATGACAGCTTAGCAAAGAAGCAAACCAAAGGACAGTGTACCCATGTTCTCCGACAAGGGGTGTTGCTGCTTATATCTTTTTCAGCCACTGCTATATTCACAGTTGGTAATCATTTAATCAGCAATAGTTCCAGTCATAAATGACAGCAAGATAAATGTGTGGTATAAATTCAACTCACATGGGACTGCAAACTAGTACAACCTCAATGGAAAGTAATATGGAGATACCTCAAAGAGCTAAAAGTAGAACTACCATTTGATCCAGCAATCCCGTTACTGGGCATCTACCCAAAGGAAAAAAAGTCATTCTATAAAAAAGACATCTGCACTAGAATGTTTATAGCAGCACAATTCACAATTGCAAAGATGTGGAAACAAACCAAGTGACCATCAATTCATGAGTGGATTAATAAATGTGGTATATGTATGTGATGGAGTACTACTCAGCCACAAAATACAATGGTGATCTAGCACCTCTTGTATTATCCTGGATAGAGCTGGAGCCCATTCTGCTAAGTGAAGTATTATAAGAATGGAAAAACAAACACTGTGTGTACTCACCATCAAATTGGCATTATTGATCAACACTTCTGTGCACATATAGTAGTAACATTCCTTGGGTGTTAGGCAGGGGGAGGGGAAGAGGGCATGGGTATTCACACCTAATGGGTATGGCACACATCGTCTGGGGGATGGACATGCTTTGAAGCTCTGACCCAGGTGGAGCAAAGTCAATATACATAACCTAAACATTTGTACCCCTGTAATTTGCTGAAATAAAAAAAAAAATTCAACTCAGAATCTGGGCCACAGCCTAATACAAAACTTTTAAAGCAAAGTGTCATCTGGAGCTGAAGAAAAGGCCACCTGAGCAGGAGGCAGGGTAAAGACTAGGAAGCCTTATGGAAGGTTTAAATTTCTGGAGGTGATGGTAGCAGAACCAGAAGTCTGGCTACCAAAAATTGCTGAGGTTGGTGAGATTTGATCTTAGCTGGGCAGGTGTCCCCTCCAGCCTCAGGGATCCTGGGGATTTTGTCTGCCTGGGTGGGTTGAGGCAGGAAGGGTAGGAAGGATGGCTAGTGGGCGACTTGGCTGAAGTTGAGCTCTAAGGTTGAGTCAGGGCCTCTTCCCGGATTGTGAACCCTCTGGGTCAGGGGCAGGGCTCATCTGGGGAACCTACTGGGAGCACCACGCCTGGCTCATTAGTGGATGTCTGGGGAGGCCTTTGAAGATGAAACACTCCATAAGCACTCATTGTTTCTCTATTTTTGGACAAACTAGTACTTTGGTCTCCAAGGGCTGTTGATCTGGCTCCTTTGCACTAGTCTGGAATTTGCTGCAAACTGAGAAGAGTGGCAGGGAGTGGGGTTGGGGATGGGGGTGGGAAGCCTAAAGAAGTTTTTGAAAAAACAACTAAATTCCCACCAAACCCAGTGTGTTAGCTTGTAAATAGGATTCCTCCCCATCCACCTTTCACATTCTTGGGTTTGGGTGCACTCTGTCTTGACCTGTTCCTTCGCCTGCTGGGTTTGGGGTGTGTGTGAGTCTCTGGTTCCCATACTCTGTAGATAATGCCAGCAGTTGGCATATGGCGATTGCTGAATAAGCTGCCCGCTGACGCATGCCTCCTGCAGGCACAGAGAACTGGCTAGCATGGGTGAATCCCCACTTTATTACTGTTTCAAAGATGCATTTCTGTGGTTGTCCTGTACCATAGAGGATGGAGGGAAGAAGAGAGAGAATGAATGAATGATTGTGATTCTGCCTGTTGGGGGCAATGGCTGGAGTGGGCAGATAGGCATTTTGTACCTTCATGGTGGTTCTTACTGCTCCTCTTGATCCTTTCAGGAGGTATTTGCTAAGTGCCTACTATTTACCAGGCATTGCATCCAATCTGAGTGAGCTGCCAGTGAGGTCAGTAGATACTCTGAAAATTAGTTCAGTTATTCAACTACTATGTGCTAGGCACTGTTCTTGCTACTGGGGACACAGCAGTGAACAAAACACATAAGGAGCTGACATTATAGGAGGAGGAGTAAAATCATACAGCAAGAAATGAATATATAATGTGTCAGACGGTGATAAATGTCATTAAGGGAAGTAAAGTGGCATAAATGGGGTAGGGAGTAAGGGGTGTGTGTGTTATATACAGGTGGTTGTGGAAGGCTGGAAGGCCTCTTTGATAGGTAACATTGGAACAGACACCTGAAGGAGGTGAGGGAGTAATCCATGAAGCTTATCTGGGAGAGCAGCATTCCAGTTAGAGGGAATAGCAAGTATAAAAGTTTTGAGGCAGGAAAGCATAGGGGAATTGGAGTGGAGTAAGCAGGAGAGTGGTAGGAGATCTGATGAGAGAAGTAAGGCAGTGTAGTTCATGCAGGACCTTGGAAGCTATGGTATAGGCTTTGGGTTTTACTAAAGGAGCTATGAAGCCAAGAGAGAGTTTTAACAAAGAAACCACATTACCCGAGTTTGGTTTTAAAATCACTGTGGTTGCTATGTGGAGAATAGAGTGAAGGGCTTAGGGAAGGAGCAGGAAACTAATGAGATGACTACCTCATTGCTGGTGACCATTTAGATTAGCTCTCCTTGGATGGGCCACAGTGAGTTTAGGATTTACCTAGCTGATAAGTGAAGGATGGCCTCTCCACCCCTCACTTCCCAATTTTTGGTGCACTGTTATGTGAATAGGGCACAACTTTAGCAGCTAGCATTCCACAGGGTGTAAAGGATCAGCCTCTCTTAGGAGTGCTGTTTTCTTATTTCTTCTTCATTTATTTTGGTGTGGAAGGAAGATGGAATTGCAGAAATATAGGAAGGAAAGAGGCAGTCTCTTGATTAGAGCAGAGAACATAAACCTTGGGAACCTGGCAAGCCTGGACCTTGTCAGGAGTCAGAGAGCCACTCCTCATTCCACTCCTTCCTCTCCCACCCTTTCCAGAAGTCTTAGGGTAAGGTTGGGGGAGGGAGTGGCATTAATGATCTTGCAATGCCTTGGGGTATAGTATAGAATGTCAGAACTGAAGGGACTAGAAATCATTTTTAGTTCAAACCCCCTCTGTTTACAGGTGTAGGTATGGAAAGGTGAAGTAACTTGTCCAGAGTCACACGGTTAGATTGCTGGCAGAGCGGGGATCCTGAGTGTTCACTGATTTGTCTCTGTTCCCAAAGGCTCAGTATATATCTGAGTGGGCTTTGGTATTCATAGTCCCCTCAGTCTCTTGGTTTGTCATGAATGTACTCCAGCCATGACTTTGGTAAATTCCATTTACATGAAGTCCTGACAAGCAAGTGATGGTAATATGTTTGCATTTCCTTTGCCTAGGATCAGTCCTCCATACCAGGGACCAGGACAAAACCAGACTGCCACTGCCCCCACTTGGGCCTCACTGTCCTCAGAACGCAGCTGCTGTGATCATGGGCAATATCTTTGGAAACCTTTTGAAGAGCCTGATTGGGAAGAAGGAGATGCGCATCCTGATGGTGGGCCTGGATGCTGCAGGAAAGACCACCATCCTGTACAAGCTGAAACTGGGGGAGATCGTCACCACCATCCCTACCATTGGTAAGGGCACAGCTTGGATATGGGCTTCATGTCAATAGCTAAGGCAGGGCAAGAGACCTATTCCTGTTCCCTCACCTGGCCTCCTCTTTCCAGACAAGTCTGTGCAATCTGTGGGGTTTAGAGAAGTGTGGCTGTTTAGCTTTCTAGCAGGTGCTGGGCCCTGCCATTTGCCCACCTACCCTGGCTCTCCCTGATGCGGGAACTTCCACAGCCTGGCACTCAACAGTTGCCCTCAGGCACTAGAGTAGGTTTGTTCTCTGTGTTGTTTGGAAAGCAGGTGAAGGACTTTGATGTTCCTGCCAGGGCCTGGAATTGCTTGGGTTTAGATCTTCAGTGGCCGATCCTGGTTAAGACCTGCCTATGGGAGGGAGAACATTTGCCATGTAGATGGGAGCTCCAGTCATCATCGTCAGCTGGCTCTGCCTTTGGGGCTACAGGACTATAGCTCACTTCTCTTTTTTCACTCTGCCTCTCAGGCTCCACATCTTAGCTAAGGCAGACTCTAGTGACCTAAGTACAGGAGTTGGGGCTGAGTCATTTCTTTGTAGGAGGGAGAGCCAATGACTGAGTGAATGAATGGCGAAAGGTTGGCTGACATAGAGGCAACTGTGAACCTCCTGACCAGCGCTTCTCATCCTCTTTGACTTATCTTAGGTTTTCATTTTGGCCTTCAAGCTACTAGGCCAACAATTACCAGATCTGAGGAAGCCTTAGTTTTTTTTCCATTGTTGGTGTCATGGCAAAGGCTGGGGGGAAACAGAACCAAACTCATTGGAGCACTGCTTGTAGGCCTGGTGTTTGAGGCCAAGTGGCCAAATTGCCTGTTTTTTCAAAGGGTTCAACGTGGAGACAGTGGAGTATAAGAACATCAGCTTTACAGTGTGGGATGTGGGTGGCCAGGACAAGATTCGGCCCCTCTGGAGACACTACTTCCAGAATACCCAAGGTATGGCAGATGAACTGCTCAGGACTGGCATGGGTTGGTTGGTTATGAGCAGAGAGTGTGGCTGTCTTCATTGGTTATGGGCAGCCACCCCTTGCCCTGCTACAGCTCCTTGGGGTGGGTGAAAAGGAGGAAAGGGAGAAAATATGTGGAGGGTGTTGTTTGGGTGGTGGGGGAGGGGGTTATCTGTCCTGTCTGTGCAGCCCATGCTCTGCCTCCCTAGGGTTGATATTTGTGGTCGACAGCAATGATCGGGAGCGAGTAAATGAGGCCCGGGAAGAGCTGATGAGAATGCTGGCCGAAGATGAGCTCCGGGATGCTGTACTTCTTGTCTTTGCAAACAAACAGGTGAAACTTCTTCCTACCCTGAATTTGGGAGAGGGCAGCCTGGCTGTGGAAATGCAGTCTTGGGCTGATTGTATGGGAGGCCCTATGACTGTGCTCTCAGTTTTGGGAGTGTGAGAAATATGAACAGTTGGCTTCTTTATTCTCCTCCTCTTCTCCCCCACCCCAGCTTTATTAGCAACATTTCAGGCCTCAGGGATTGGTGTGGTAGATACATGGCCTCAAATCTTTCTTTCATCTTCCCTATTGTCTACTTTAGTGGAACTGCCCTCACTCCTTCTGTCAGACAGGCCTGATTCTTTGGTCAGTCTGAATCACCTGTCTACTTCCCTACCAACCCCATATTTAGTCTCCATATTCAGTGGAATGACCTCTAGTACCTTGGATCTGGTGTTCTAGAGTGACTAAATCCCTAGGATCTTGTTGTGGGTTTCCTGAAAAAAGGAGGAGAAAAAGGTACTGATATACATTTCTTTGGTAGATACGTGCTCTAAAAGCCTTTGAAAGATTTTGAGGCTTGTTCTTTGTGTGTCTCCTTCGTGCTCCAGGACCTGCCTAATGCTATGAATGCTGCTGAGATCACAGACAAGCTGGGCCTGCATTCCCTTCGTCACCGCAACTGGTACATTCAAGCCACCTGTGCCACCAGTGGGGACGGGCTGTATGAAGGCCTGGACTGGCTGGCCAATCAGCTCAAAAACAAGAAGTGAGAGCCAGGCAGCCCTATCCGAGTGCCCCACCCACCCCTGACATACTTGTTGTCTCCCAACCCCAGCCCTACCCCTTCCTTCCCATTGCAAGTGTGGCCAGGGACCTGGGTATCATGTCCGCATGCCCAGCAAGAGCCTTGCCTCCCCTGCCTTCCCTTCTCTCCCCTATCCACTGACATGACCAGTCCCCAGTTGCTGTCCTGTTGATGAATCATTCCAATTTACTGGATTTAAAACAAAAACAAGGTTGTTATGGTTTCATGGGGTGGCCCCTCTCTCTCTCACCCTCTGGGTTTTGGGGTGGGGTATTCTCTCTGTTTGCTTCATTTGGCACTGGTTGCTGTGCTCTTGGCATCTGAGTCCTTTCCTTGTCCCCACAAGCCCCTCTTCTGCTCCTTGTCTTCCTTTCCTTCACCACCCTCTCCCTGTTCTACATGGAAATTGCACGGGCCTCTCTGTGTGTGCGTGCATGTGTGCGCCTGTATATACATGTATAGAGAGATATATATGTAGGGGAAAGGGGGAGGGGGTGGAATACAGCTCAGGGCTTGTAGCCAGGACACTGCCCACTGGGGCCTATCATCTGCCCCTTCCACGTTAGTTAAAGGAAGAAGGTTGGGGGAGGGAATTGGTCAGGCTGGACTGCCCCGGTCTTGGACTGGTTTTCCTCCTCTCTGCAGGTAGGTTATCCTGGATGGCAGGACAGATAATGGATTCTTCACCACCATCTTCCTTGTACTCCCCTTTCTACCTTTCGTAGGGTTGGAGGGTGGCATTTATCTCTAGATGGCTGTTCCCAAGGAGATGCCATTCTGCTATGCCTTGTTATTGGGAAGGCGAGAAGAACCCACTCACTCTTATCAGCCCAGAGTGTTCAACTGATCCACCCCCACCATCCTTAGATCTGTTCCTCAGGAGCTTGAGGAGGAGGAGGTGGTGATAGCAAGACCGTGTGTGTGTGGTTACCAGGGCATGGGGAAAGGGAGGAGGAGGCCTTAGGTTTTCCATCTTCATTCTCTTGTTACTAGGAGAAGTGAGGCATGGAGCAGTCCCATTCCTGCCTTCCTGCGTGCCCCCCCACAATCTTCTGATCTTGGGGGCTGGGCGGTTCATTTATCCTTTGTCAGAAGTTTTCGTACCCTAGTAGTCCTGCTGGCCTGACCAGGGCTGATTGGGTGGTCTAATGAGGAGCTGGGGAGTTGGGTGACATAGCAGACCTCAATATCAACCCCCTGTCCAACTCTCATTTTCTAGTCCAGGATGTGCTAAAGGATGAAGATTTTCTATTGTTTGTAGGCCCTCAGACCATCCTTGCTGTCCCCTCCTCACCCATTTGCCATAAATGGATCTAGGGGTTGGAGTGGAGGAAATAGAACCCTGAAATGTCATCGTTGGTGCTTGTGAGATGTCGTAGTCTTCAGGGTCCTCCCCCCATTATGTAGTTGTTCAGAAGCTGCTGCTACTTCGTCTCTCTGTCTACAGGGGGCGCTTGTCCCTGTGGTCCTGGCCTGAGTCCTGACTTCTGCGGTTTGTGTGAAGCCGTGGCTGTTTTGTGGGCTCCTGTGTGTGCTGGCTGTGCCCTGAGCTCCAAGATAGCTGCCCATGCCTTTCCACTAAGGTCAGGGCTCAGGGCCCCCCACAGCATGGCTGAAGGATCCCTTCCCAGAAGGGCTGCCCCAAGCCCTACTCCATGGGGCCAGGCTTCCTGCCCACTTTGTCTACAGCAGACAGATTAATACTCCTCACCCTACCCCAGATTGAACTGTGAAAGAGTGGTTCCAGGGGTATCTCCCTCAGTGCCAGTTACTTAGTGATGTGTTACCCAAGATGCAGTGGGTGTGTGTAGGTATCTTGCTCTCTAGGTCTTTGTGTGTGTGTGTTTCTGTGTGTGTGCGTGTGTGTGTTTGGTGTGTGTGTGTGTAGGGGGGTGGGGGGACTTGGAAGTTCTGTTTCATTTAAAAATGTATTTATTCCCCTGACTCCACAGATGCTTTCCTCTGCGCTTTTTCTTTGCTCTGTTTCCTCAAATTTTTTTGTCCTGCCCCATTGCCTTTCCATCCCTGAACTCTTTCCTTTGCCTTCTCAATTCATTCACTGCTGTTGCTTGTTTGTCTTTTCCTTGTTTTTTTCCTACTTAAGATTCCCCACTCTATATCTTTGTGGTTGGTGAGGACTTTGCCTCTTCTCCTGCTTCACTCCCTCTCTGACCCTCCCTAGTTAGATGCCAATCCCAAATAGGTTTTCCTCATTTCAGCCCTTAGCCCCCCCCCACGTTGTTTTGGGGGACTCCAAGGATCAATCTGGGGTAGAGGGTGTTAGGAAGCAGCCTTGGAGATTGCCTTGGTGCTGCTCCAGACCTGGCCAGCAGGGGGCAGTAAGCGATCTTGGAAGTATCCCTGGCTGCTAAGCCCTTGGCAGGGGTGGTCCTTTCTGCATTCCCATTCACTTAACAGCTCTTTTGGGATTGGGTGTTTCATTCCATTTCTGCCCACTCCCTCTCCTGCTCTCCTCTGGTAGGTTTAATTTTATGCTTTCTTCTTCCTGGGGACTCCCCCTCCCTGCCACCCCCAAAGTTTGTTTGTGGTGTTATAGTGGTAACTGCAGTTCTGAACTGGTTTTTCTCTTCTTTTTTCCTCCTCTGGAATGTAGACTGTATATGTTTAATAATTCACCTTCTCTATCCTTGCTCAAATGTGGGATAACGCGATGACTGTGACCCTGGTTGGAAATTAAAATTGTTTTATGCAGCTTTGGAGCAGACCTTCATCCTTGATGTGCAGGAGCCATGGGACAGTGGTTCACTGGTGAGGGTAGTTCTGTTACTGGTCTCTCTCTCCAGACTGCCCCTTCTCTTAGCAGAGCAGTAAAGGGCACACTTGACTGGTGTAGAGTGAGGTTATGGAATAACTTAGGCCCATCTCCATGATGCTTATTTCTTCCTATTGTACCCCGGGGGGGAGGGGGACCCAAATGAATTGGGTATCAGAGTGTGAAGGCTTTGTCTTTGCTTCTCTAGTTCTGAAGGGTTCAGCCCTGAACTTAGCCATATTTATCACCTGTTGGTACACTTTAGGGACTTCAGTGGCTGGAGGGCCCTGAACTTAGAATGCCCCACACTCCTTTCACTCTCAAATCTCCCTAGCCCTGTATGTCAGGTGCTTCGAACTGTTTTGAACAGGGTCCCTTCATCTATAGATTGGAGTCTCCTCACCAATCTAGTTCTAGACTTTAGCAGTGAATAAGCATGAAAGGTCAATGTCTGGGCAGTATAATGAACTGTATCCTTCTTACAACTGATGGTCCTGCATCAACTCTACTTCATGCATGTGGTTTCCCATTTTCAGGATGCCAGGCCTCATCTAGAGATTCCACAAATGTCTTGGGGAATAGACCTTTTCCATAAAGCCTGTCCTCCCATCCCACTCCCACCACCATGGTGTTCCTCTCTCCTATTCTCTAGCTGCAGGCAAAGAAAGGGATGATGCTCCTCTTGAGGTGGGCGAGTTTGGGTGAGCCAGGCAGACCTTCCTCAGTCTTATCACTTTCTTAAGCTTTGGGGACAGAGGTCTTCCCAACCTGCTGTTATGGGAAAGGGACAGGATTTAGGCATATAATAAGTTTGAGAGCCCCAAGTATCAATGTGGAGTATATAATTTGTATTCTGTTATCTCTCTGCTGCCTCCCCTGCCCATTTTCCTTTTCAGCTCCTCTCCTGTTATTAATAAGCCATCACCTTCAAGGACTAGTGCTTCTGCCCCTGTGTAACCCTCAAACTACTCCAGATATGCCTTTATCAATCCCATAACTTCAAACATTACCCACTTATCCCTCAAAATCAGATGTCACTTTCCTTATTCTAGGCTCCTCCAAAGTTCTGCTTGGTGACAGGTTGCAGATAAGTTAAGAACACCTATGATGACTGACACCACTGCACTATAGCCGGGGATGACACAGTGAGACTCTGTCTCAAAAAAAAAAAAAAAAGGAGCACTTTCCTAAGTGCTTTATTTGTATAAATGATAATGGAAAGGACTTTAGCTGAATGGCAGGCCAGTGGGAGTCTTTGGACCCCTGAACAACTTGGAGGAGAGGAAAACCTATTCCTTTCTGTCCTTTAGTACTCAGTTAAGGATGCCAGGAAGGAGGTAGAGGGGAGCCCTCTTGTGGCAGTTGTTTAAACCTTTCAGGTCATAGGATGAGGAGGAAACTCAACCTGGGAGGTAAATGCTTAGCACCTAGCTCCTACACCAAACAGCAACCTCACCTTCCAAAATACAAATAGCTCGGCCAGGTGTGATGGCTCATGCCTGTAATCCTAGCACTCTGGGAGGCTGAGGTAGGAGGATGGCTCAAGGTCAGGAGTTCGAAATCAGCCTGAGCAAGAGCGAGACCCCATCTACAAAAATATAAATAAATTAATTGGCCAGCTAAATATAGAAAAAATTAGCTGGGCATAGTGGCACATGCCTGTAGTCCCAGCTACTCAGGAGGCTGAGGCAGAAGGATTGCTTGAGCCCAGGAGTTTGAGGCTGCTGTGAGCTAGGCTGATGCCACAGGAGTCTAGCCCGAGCAAGAACAACAGAATGAGACTCTATCTCAGAAAAAAAAGAAAAGAGCCAGTCGAAGGGCTTGGCAGTGTCCCCTTCATTTCAGAGTATAGGGGCAGTGACAGAGAATGAATGTCAGTAAATATGAGTTTCTCTGACTTGAAGGCTCTGGGGATTCACCGCATGTACCACTTCCAGATCAAGTGCCTAGACTGGTTGGAACAGAAAGTTGACAAGTATTTATTTAGTACCTTCTATGTTTTTAAGCCTGTGCTAAAAATGTCTCAAACCACTGTCCCCAGGGACCTGGGGATCCAATTCTGGGATGCTCTGGAATCCTTTGGGATATCTTTAGCACACCACGTGGGGTAATGAGAGTTGGGGAATAACATGTAGGGGGATACCCCTTCCTTTGCTGCTGCTTAGTGTAGGGAGTGGTGTCTTTGGGCATGCAGTCGTAATACTAAGACCAGCTTTTCCAGTTCTGAAGGAGGTAGGAGAGCCAAAGACTAGTTCTCTTACTTTCTAACCTGGTGGCTGCTCCACTATGTTGGTCACTGGGGAATGATAGGATCCAGATGCCTTCCTTCCTCTGCAGGTTTTTCTTTCTAATTGGGTTTCCTGACCCTGGTTGCTGGTACAGTTAAGAATGACCCTGAGTTCCTGAGAAAAGGGAAGAGGGTTAGAACAGAGGAAATGGAAGCTTTGAGAGTAGGGTAAAGGAGGCAAAGCTACAGAAGGCAGTGGTTGGAGGTCTCAAAGTGAGGAAGTTGGGTCAGGACCATTCACCATCAAGGCTTGAAGGTGAGTGTCTGTTCATGTGTGTCATTTTGGCCATGAGTTGCAGAAGAGAGTATCTGGGCTCTAATTTAAGAGCACATCTGGCTTCTGAGCTGAACATAGTGGAATAGAGAGGTCACTTGAACCAAAATCCTGCTATCTGTGCACAAAGCTGATTGATTCTACCTATGCACCCTTCATCACAAACCAGGCACAATTGAGAAGCTATCTGGCAGTCAGGCCAGGCCAGGCCAGGCCGGGCCAGGCAGGAGGTTTGAGACTGAGCTTATGCACCTGGAACCTGGAACCTGCCTTCTGCCCACCTTCCACCTCCATCCTTCCATCCCATACATTGTTGAGAGCCCTCCAAGGACAGAATTGAGTATAAGTACTTTTAAGGTTTAGAGGGCTTAGCTTAGGGCTCTGAACCACTGGGATTATTTGTGAGTTCTGAATATAATAAAGGGCACGATCTTTTCTTTAGGTTAGAGACAGGAGATGGGGAATCTGTTTCTGCCTTTCCCACATCTTGCATTAATGGGACGATACCTCCTTGGTTAGCACAGCCATAAGGGAAGAGCAGAGGAAGGAGACAACAGCTTCATTCTTGGATAAATGAGTGTACAACCATAACTAAAAGAAAAACAACTAGTCAGCTGGGGTATGCATGCCCTTGAAAATATGATATCACATTTGGAATCCAGGTTTGCATATGCTGATTCATAGGCTTTTTATTTGTTAAGAACCTGTTATAAACATACTTAAAAACATTTAAAAAGCAGTGCCCTGCTTACTATCTGGCACCTAAGAAGCATTGAACCTTGATGAATGAATGGGTGAATGAACAAACATCATTGCTCTTAATAGCCCAACATCATTGGGCAAAGTGGGTATGGGGAGTTATGGTAGAGTTTTTCCCTACAAGCTGAGACACCTTTGAGGGAGTAGGGGCTTTTCTAGGTGTGATTTAAGTTGTGCCTCCAGCCAGGGTTTGGCCAGCTCCCCTCCTTTCCCAGAACCATCTCACCTTTCTCTGTCCTTCAGTTTTCTTCTAACTTGACCCAAGGAAAAAGATCCTTCCATGGTCCCTCCCCAGTCCTGGTGGGCTTGTGCTGCCCTCTGTAGGTGGATATTGTCTTAACTATAACAGTTTTGTCTTTTCCATGCCTACTCCCAGGTGGAAGACACCTTCATAGCACCATTCCAGTCACCTGATGCATCAATGCACTGTTACCTCTTTGCCCAGAACCTTTTAATATGTTCCTAACCGTCTTAGTCTGACATTCAAGGCTCTCTACAACCAGCCCTTAATTCCCTCTCCTACCACCTCTGTCCACTCCTGACCAAATCCCTTACTTTAGTCAAATTGGTCCATTCATTTTTCCCAAACATCTGGCCCCGCCTTTACCCCCTTTCTCATTTGTTTAAAAATCCCGCTCCAAGATCCAGCTCCTTTCACCTCCACTAAGCTGCCTGTGCCCTCTCTAACCACAAAGACTTTATCCTCCTCCCCCACTCCTTTAGCTCTGTTAGCACAACTCATTCAACACCTCCCACACATTCCCTTGTGTTGCTATATATCTTGTTCATTCATTTAATATTTAATTTAAAAATTATTTTTGTAACCAACATAATTTTTATTGTAAAAGATACAACAATACATAAATATAATGATCAGCATGTGGAACTTGTTACCCTCTACTCTTCCCATTCCCATCCCCAAACATAACCATCCTCAGCTATTTGGTATGCATCCTTCTAATTCCTCTTCTAAACATATGTACCTAGACACATTTAGGGCTGGGTTAAAATATAATTGGGCTCATATCGCAACCTTTATTCTGCTACTTTTTAAACTTAAGGGTATATACATTTATTTTAGAAATACTCCATATTAGTATGGTTAGATCTTTCTTTTTAATGGTTTCTTGGTATTTCATAGTATAGTAATCAAAATAAATCACACCTGTGATCCTAGCACTTTGGGAGGCCGAAGCGGGAGAATTGCTTGAAGCCAGGAGTTCAAGACCAGCCTAAGACCCTTTTCCTACCAAAAATACAAAGTTAGCCAGGCGTGGTAACATGTACCTGTAGTCCCAGCTATTATACTTGGGAAGCTGAGCCAGGAGGATTGCTTGAGACCAGGAGTTTGAGGTTGCTGTGAGCTATGATGATGCCACTGCATTTTAGCCTGGCTGACAAAGCAAGACCCTATCTTAAAAAAAAAAAAAATATTTGTCTAGAATCTGTTATTTGGAGTGTATTGTGTAGCAAGTATATAGGGAGCTCCAGACATGATGACAACTTTGTCCTTGCCATCAGTGAGCTGGTGCTTTGGGGGAGGAGATAGGAATGGAGGGCTGGGGCATAGACAGTTGCAACATAGGGAAAAATATAATGATGTCCCCAAGTGTATCCCTGAAGTTCAGAAATAGAGGAAGTCACTTCTAGCCAAGGGAATCAGGACTTCATTCACAGAGGAGATGATATTTGAACTTAGACTGGAGGGCGTTTGACAGGTGAAAGAAGAGCATGAGCTTGGGCATAGAGCCAGAAACGAGACGTAGGTTTGTCTGATGCCAGACCACAGTCTATGAGTAGGAAGGGGATTTGGTTCAATTCATAAACATTTAGCAAGCATTTGTATGTCAGACACTATGCTGGCAATGAGGAGATAGAAGTGAGAAACCGGTTCCTGTTTCTAAAAGGCTTTCAGTTTAATGGAATAAAAGCCAAGTTTAGAAAAGTTGATTAGGGCTATATGACAAAAGCTTTAATTAGCATATCAAGGAGTCAGAATTTTATTTATTTGGGCAATGTGAAGTCCTAGTAGGCTTCATAGTGGGCAGGTGATGTGACTGAAAGATAGTAGCAACGTACAGAATGGTCTAAAGTAGGGAGAAGCTGGGGTTGAAGGGTTTACCACTCCTTTCTTAAAAAATAAGTTTATTTCTACCTCAGTTAATAGGTGTCTGTGGTAGGCAATCCAGGGGTGGTATGGGGGCTCTCCAATGATCAAGGGCTTAGGCTTCTGTCTTTTTGCTTCACCTTCCTAGCATACAGCTTCCATCCTCATGGTCACCTCATGGTGACCACGGCTGCTAGAGCTTAATTTATCTCATCTACATCCAGGCAGCAGAAAGAAGGAAGGAAAGATGATTGGGGGGAGGGAAAAGAGTACACAAAGACACACTTCCTAGCTAAATTAACTCCTTTTAAGGTGTCTTCCTAGAAGTCCAAGACAATACTTCCAACACTTCTGTTTATGTCCTATTGGCCAGAACTTAGATGACCATATCTATTTTTAAGGAAGACTTGGATATGTAGTTTTGTGGGGATTTTTTATTTTTTCTTTTTTAAAAAATTGAGATATAATTTGTATACAGTAAAATACACAGATCCTAAGCATACAGTTTGATAAGTTCTAAGAAATGCATGCACCCATGTAACCCACAGCCTTCTCAAAATATAAGACATTCCATAACACCCCCCCCAAATTCCCTCCTGCTGAGGGGTGTCTTTTTTTTTTTTTTTTGGTAAACAATCCAAAAGAGAGATAATGAGGGCTTAATTAGGGTGAGACTAGAAAGGAAGAGCTGGAGAGACCATGGATGGAGAAGCCAAGGAAGACTGGTTGGATGTGAGAGATGAGAGAAGAATCAAAGAGAATGCTGGTGGGATGTGGGAGATGAGAGAAGAATCAAAGAGAATGCTGGTGGGATGTGGGAGATGAGAGAAGAATCAAAGAGAATGCTAACAGCAGAGCCACTAACAGGAACGGGAGATTGGGAGGAAGTCTGTGTTGTTGCTGATGGGATGGAAGGAGAAGGAAGAATGAGTACAGTATTGGGTGTGTTGAGTTTGAGGTGCTGGCTAAACACCCAGGTGGAGATACCCAGTAGACAGTTGTGTTTAGAACCTGGGAGGGCATTCAGAACCCAATGGCATCAAATACCACAGTGATGCTAAAGAGAACAAGGGACCAAGAACCAACCCAAGAATTTGGTGACCCAAGAAGTTGGAGCTTGCTGATGACTTTTGAGGGAGCAGAATCCAGACACCAAGGCCCGAGTGACCAGTGGGGGGTTAAATCCAGTAGGATCACCCAAAATAATCTTAAAACCTTTTAAAAAACTGAAGTCTTTGCACAAATATAAAAGGTTTGTATGTGCTGCCCTTTTGAGAAGTTTGTTGAAAGGTGAAAGGAAATGGTAGGAACAGAGGAAAAGATCAAGGTTCACCCCATTCTAACAGGAAAATAGCCCCTTGCCCTTTTCAGTCAGCACTCCCAAGGACAGGGGATAGGATAGCTCCCCTGTCCTTGAATATACAACTCCCCTTCTTTTGAATATACAACCTCCAGAAATTCAAGCTGAAGGGGTGGAGGAGGAACAGGGATGCCACCTATAACAACTGCCTAGGTGAGTGGGCCAGCCAGACACTGCCAGGAGAGGTGTGAGGAAAGAGCAGAGAGCAAACATGCTGGACTCAGATAATCCTGGGTTTGAATCCTGTGTCTGTTATCACCTGGCTTGATGACCTTGGGGAAGTTACTTAATCCGAACACCGTGTTTCCTTATCTGTAAAATAGAAACAACTATGCCTACCTTTCGGGGTGGTTTTGAGGATTAGAGGCTATTGTCTGGCACACAGTAGGTAATAGTAAATGGGTGCTGTTAATATAACAGATTATAGTTCATCTGTCCCTCAACCCCTGTTGTGGGACAGAACGGGCTAACGGACGTGTCAGAATCTGAGACCTCCCGATCTTCCAGGTTAGAGAGGGCTCCCTGCGGCCTCCTCCCTTTAGGAGGTGGGGACAAGGTGGAGGAAGGGCTGCAGGAGGAGGAGCTCAGGCATCGCGACCCGCCCCGTCCCGTCCAGTCTGGTCTGGGCGCCGAGGGAACGCTGTCCTAGCTGCCGCCACCCGAGCAGCCTGTCCTGCTGCCCCGGTGCCCTGCCCCGCGTCCAGTCATGACCCTGCGCCCCTCACTACTCCCGCTCCATCTGCTGTTGCTGCTGCTGCTCAGCGGCGCGATGTGCCGGGCTGAGGCTGGCGTTGAAACCGAAAGCCCCGTCCGGACCCTCCAAGTGGAGACCCTGGTGAGGAGGAGACAGTCCCGGACCCCAGTGCCCATGGGCCGGGCCTTGTGGGGAAATACGGGGCTCTCAACGCCCGGGAGCCGGGAGGAGAGGGAGTGCGGGAACGGAGTTGGGGGCGGTGCTGGGTCCAGGGGCGAGAACGGGATCTTTGGAGGTGCATCCGTGACCCCTGTAGTCCGATCGTAGGTGGAGCCCCCCGAACCGTGTGCGGAGCCCGCTGCTTTTGGAGACACGCTTCACATACACTACACGGTGAGGGGTCTGGGGGCCGGGGCGGGGCCTGGGAGGGGGCGGCGCCCTGCTGAAACACGTCAGCTTTGGCTCGGACACGTGGCAAGCGGTTCTGGGGAAGAAAGTCGGTTCTGGGGAAGAAAGTCGGGGCCCAGGGGTCGTCTAGCACGTGGCCGGGGGAGGGGCGCTGCTCTTCCCTGCCTTTTTCCCCTCCCAGCTTTTCCGCCAGTTCCTACCGGGCACTGAGAAGCGATCTCCAAGAAGTGCCAGCCTTTTGGGGCTTCCTGTGCCTTTCAGCCCTGAAGGGAATGCTAGGCTGTAGCAGTAAGGGGGTTGCTGCCTCCCAGCGGGCCAGGTGTGTGTAGTGGCCAGGTGTGTTGCCCACTGCTGGGAGGGAGAGATACTAGGTGTACGCTCTCCATGTTCTCTACCCCCAGGGCAGCTTGGTAGATGGACGTATTATTGACACCTCCCTGACCAGAGACCCTCTGGTTATAGAACTTGGCCAAAAGCAGGTGATTCCAGGTACGTGACCTGTTCCTCCCTTTCCACCTCTTCCCAATCTAAGCCCTTTCTTAGCCTCTTCAGGGTTGAAGAGGCTCTGGAAATGCTCCCCCTGGAATGAGTAAGACCCTAGGATTCTACCAGCTACCTCCTGAGATTCAAACCCCATTTCTAATACTCCTCTTGCCCCATACCCCACTGGAAGTCAGGGATTTAAGAAGGGGGGGGGACTCAATTGAGGATCCAGGGGGAGCCTTTGATCCTCTTCTTGTGGGATTTGGGGAATGTGGGTAGCTTCCAGTTCAGTTGTGTCTTCTTCCTCAAGGTCTGGAGCAGAGCCTTCTAGACATGTGTGTGGGGTGAGTATCTGGGCAGGGATGGGCCTGGGTATCCCCCTTGCATGGTTAGAGGCTTTCTTCGCCAACCCCGCTCCTCAAGGAGGCAGGAGAATGTGGGATAAAGGACTCTGACTTAGCACCGGACAGGTCCAAATCAGCGGTACCCCTGAGGGCATCCAGTGCCTCCATGCCTCTGGCTGTTGGTTTTATTGGAGGAGTTGAGGCATGTGGGGAGATGGACACCTTTGCTGGTCAACCTGCTTGGTGCTCAGACGGAAAAGTTCATGTTTCGGGTATGAATATCCAGGGGGTTTTGCTGGTGGAGCTTCAGATGGACTGAAGCTGCTGGCACACCCTCCTGCCTCTGGCTGTGACTCACGTTCCTTCCGTCAGAGAGAAGCGAAGGGCAATCATTCCTTCTCACTTGGCCTATGGAAAACGGGGATTTCCGCCATCTATCCCAGGTAATCTGACTAGGTCTCTCTCCCAGGCCCTGAAAATACCCAGTCCCTAAGAGCTATGAGGAGCTATACATACTTTGTCTAGAGCTTGAGAAGGTCCAGACCAAGTTTGTTGAACTGGACAGGAGTGGCTGGGGCCTCCTTCTGCAGGGCCACTTTTTTTCTCCTCAGATCACCCACAGGGATTAGAGACATATAACCTATTAAGGCCACCTGGCTTGACCTCTGGCAGCCAGCGACTTTTTAGGGAAGAGACACCTGCTTGAGCCACATGGGTCTGTTGCCTGTACTACACTTCCCAGAACTCTGGACTTCTTTCCTGCCTTTTTCCTACGACTCTACGCTGTGTTATTTGTGCAGTTGGCATGGTTTCTCACCATAACCCCCCTCCTTCCTTTCAGTCTCCACCAGGGAAGAGATTGTAAAAATAATCACAGTCAAGTAATTCAAAACAAAACAAAAAGCAACTTTTAAAGCCAAGTCTACCTCATAACTTTAAAAGCCATTATAAGTCACTGCTGATACCTATTCTTGAGGGTCTGAGACTAGACAGATTTCCCAAGACACGTTATCTCTAGCTTTTGGTTATAACAGATGTTCTATTAGCTAAAATGTGTTTTACTCCACAGAGATTGGGATTATAATTCTTATTCTAGTTCCAGTTTAGAAGAAGGCCTGGAAGGAGGGTAGGGGAACCAAGGAGAAACTCCTTTACCCAAACTCCTATTATCTTCCCATTCCTGGTGCTGCGTGTTTGCTTCTGTTTGCACCTCTTCCCCCACTTACTCCTGTTCCACCAGCCCTTTTACTTCTTAAGCAACAGCCTTCTTCCTCTCCAGCTCTTATGTTGATATTCTTATGTTCTTTCTATTAATCATATTGAGTATGCTCATTGATTGATAGAATATTTAGAGTCCAGCTTATAATTTCTTTTCTTTTTTTGAGACAGAGTCTTGCTTTGTTGCCCAGGCTAGAGTGAGTGCCATGGCATCAGCCTAGCTCACAGCAACCTCAAACTCCTGGGCTCAAGCAATCCTGCTGCCTCAGCCTCTCAAGTAGCTGGGACTACAGGCATGCACCACCATGCCCGGCTAATTTTTTCTATATATATTAGTTGGCCAATTAATTTCTTTACATTTATAGTAGAGACGGGGTCTCGCTCTTGCTCAGGCTGGTTTCAAACTCCTGACCTTGAGCAATCCGCCCACCTCGGCTTCCCAGAGTGCTAGGATTACAGGCGGGAGCCACCACGCCCGGCTGAGACAGAGTCTTACTCTGTTGCCTGGGCTAGAGTGCCATGGCATCAGCCTAGCTCACAGCAACCTCAAACTCCTGGGCTCAGGCGATCCTCCTGCCTCAGCCTCCCTAGTAGCTGGGACTACAGGCATGTGCCACCATGCCAGGATAATTTTTTCTATATATTTTTAGTTGGCCAATTAATTTATTTCTATTGTTTAGTAGAGACGGGGTCTCACTCTTACTCAGGCTGGTTTCAAACTCCTAACTTTGAGTGATCCACCCATGAACTCCTGACCTTGAGTGATCCACCCACCTCAGCCTCCCAGAGTGCTAGGATTACAGACGTGAGCCCCCACACCTGGCCTTAAGAGTCTAGTTTGTTTTTTTTTTTCTATTTTTTTCTTTTCTTTTAAGAGTCTAGTTTAAATCCAGTTAATTTCAGCCCTGCAAAGATTCTATCTATGTGGGTATTTAGAAATGGGTTACGGTTAGTATAGAGGGTTTTCTCACTTATAAATGGAGAAGAGCCTGTACATTTCATATTCACAGAAAGTTTTCCTTCACTGTCAAAGACCTGTTACTGAACCCAAGCCACATGTGTAATTGGGGTCAACATGACTATCACTAGACTCTGCTCATAATCCTCCTCTGCCTTCGTCTAAGGGAATTCAACCTCACATTTAAATCTTGCCAGCTTCGTAGTTGTTGGTTTTGCCGTGGCTCACTCTCCCTGTTTTCATTCAGATTCTGAGCCCTGGATAAAATGTACCAAGATTCTAACCATCCCCTCCCCTCTGCCTCTCCAGCCGATGCAGTGGTGCAGTATGATGTGGAGCTGATTGCATTGATCCGAGCCAACTACTGGCAAAAGCTGGTGAAGAGCATTCTGCCTCTGGTAGGCATGGCCATGGTGCCAGCCCTCCTGGGCCTCATTGGGTATCACTTATACAAAAAAGCTAACAGACCCAAAGTCTCCAAAAAGAAGCTCAAGGAAGAGAAACGAAATAAGAGCAAAAAGAAATAATAAATGATAATTAAAAGAAAAAAAAACTCCTTTGCATTCTTCACCTTAGACTTTCTGAGGCTGCTTTTATAAGTGAGGTAAAAAGGTGTTCTGAGTTGGATCTTGCCTGGCATGGGGGTGGTTGGAGGCCTTGTATCACTCTTCCCCTGGCCTCCTCTTGCTGTCCTAACTTACCCTAAGGATCTGGTCTTGAATCTTCCTGTAAGAGCTCTAGGTGCTTAGGGTATAGGTTTTGGCCATCCCACAGTGCCCTGACTCCAAGGAGCAGTGCTTCATTGAGGAGTAAGCCTCCTGGTAGTTGCCTAGCTATTGTCTCTACTCCCTGGGACCGCAGTAATCCGAGTGTCTCAAAGCAGACTGTCCAACATGGCAAAGATAAAAGGAGCTTATAAACTCCATGGAAACTTTTAATAGCAAAGTCCTCAGGTCTCAAAACAGAAATCTCTGGGGGTTGAAAAAAGATTTTTCTCCTTGGATGACAGGGTATGGGAGATCACATGGGCTGCTTCAATGATATTGTAAGTGGTTCGATGTTGTTTGTCACCTGGCTGGGCTACAGGTGTGGGCGAAGGCTGGGGTAAGTTGCTTCGATGGTTGACTATGAAGAGTGGGTTGAGCTGGCTCAGCACTTCGTCACTCACTGAGATGCCATCCAAGTACTGCTTCAGCATCTCCCGCAGCTTCCCATTGATTTCCAACAGCTGGGCTCGTCTGTGTTGGAGGCTCAGTTGCTCCAGTTTCACTTTGTTGTACCTTTTCCAGAAATTCACCATCCCTGTGTAGTCCATCATCACCTGGGAGTTGAGTAAAAGGGAGAAGGTGTGCAGCAGGACCTGTTAGTGAATGCTGCCCGATGCCCCATAACACCCAGCCTTTACCTTTGCGAGCTCCTCAGTAAGCCCTCCCCAGTTAGCCTCAGTCCCCTGCTGCTCCTTAGGAGTCAATACTGATGAATAAAAAGGCAGCACTTTTTCTTCCTCTGTTTCAAATTTCCTACATATTTCAGCAAGTTTAAGGATCTTTTCACCCTGTTGGAAGCAGGAAGAGACTTATTAGTAAAGAGGTGGAAAGGGGAGATAGTGGAGTTGGTTCCCCTGCTTGAACCTGGGAACACTAGTCATCCAAATGGGAGACAATAGTAATAAGTAACATACAGTGCTTACTAGAGTGTAAGTAACATACAGTGCTAACATACAGTGCTTACTATGTAACAAGCACTATCCCAAGTATTTTACACTCTTAATTATAAAATTAATTCATTATTAATTCATTTCACTTAAAATGTAAGAGAGGGAGGAAACATGGAATAAAAAATGTATTCCAAGTGTCCACTCAGACAGGAAGCAGGAAGAAGCCCTCCTCTATCTCTTCCAAATCCTTTTCACCTTGCAGCAGCAGTCCCCAACCTTTTTGGCACCAGGGAATGGTATCATGGAAGATAATTTTTCCATGGATGGGGGGGGGCAGGTCCAGAGCTCAAGTGGTGATGAAAGCGACAGGGAGCAGCTGTAAATACAGATGAAGCTTAGTTGGCTCACCCCCTTCTTAAGTTTCATGGAAGACAGTTTTTCCACAAATGGGGTGGGGGTGGGGGTTGATGGGCAGCAGAGCGCTGTGGCCCAGTCCCTAACAAGCCTAGAAGGGATGGTTGGACTGCAGCCCTGCAGGGAGCCAAATTCCTTAGCTTTGTTCTGACTTCCCTCCCGCCCATGTTACCTTATCAACAATCTTTCTCAGGACCTTGAGAGTGGCATTGCTTTCCAGGGTGAGTTTGACTAAGTTCTCCTGGGATGCTGTCCGGGCCTGAGTTCTTTGAGCCTTAAGTTTTCGCAGTTGTACAAGAACCAATTCCTTGTCATTACGGACATACTGGTTCTGATCTTCACTGTCACGGCTGTGTATCATGATCTTGCCCCTTAAAATAGTTATGGCATCCTGGGAGAACAGAGATTAGAGGAAACACTTGACCAGTGAGTGTCTTCAGTGACACAGGTAAAAGGGCTTCCTGGGAACTAAAATCAGAATATTATCATCTTTTCCCAACCAGACCCAGTGGAAATTGGGGGAAGATGAAAAGAACAGTTAAAACAATGAGTATTTCTGGTTGGCTACACTAACCTGTAGCTTCTGTATTTTTCTCATCTGTGCTTCAATCTCTTTGGAGCTCTTCTCGTCCTTCACCTTCAGGGTCTCAAAGGCAATCTTTCGATCCTCTGTGGCATCAGTATAATTCTTGAGGGCATCCTGGAATCTTCTCCACAGATCTTCCACTGTGTTCTCCAGTTGTAGTCTTAGAAAATGCTTCTCTTCTAAATTCTAGGAAGTGACCCCAAAATAGATAATGGTTGGAATTACCCTATTAGTGCCCTTTCACTTCCATCAGCAATCTCACCCTCTTGAACTGTTTGTAGCAAAGGTCACCAATGGAAATACCTACAAGGACCAGGCAGATGATATAAATAAGTGGTGTGGGCTGGGTGGGGCCTGTGGCAAACTAGAGAGGAAATGCTCTGTCTGTGAGGGGGAGGGGCAGCCACTCAGCTCCTCGTGAGTGTTGCCAGACCTTTAAATTTTTCAGGAGAAGCTGAAAATTTGGATTTTTATGTGACATGTCTCCAATTTTTAAATGTAGGATATTTATTCAAAAATTTTATAAAACACTTTGGGGTAAAATAAAAACAAAGAACCCGACACCCACACCTAGGTCTATGGGCTGGCTAAGTTTGCAACCTCCAGGATGGTGGAAAGCTCTTTGGGCCAAGGAGCAGGAGACCTAGATTCTCCTTCTGGCTCCACTACAAACCAGCAGCAAGACTTTGGCAGGTCATTTTATGTCTTTGGGCCTTAGTTCTTTCATCTGCAAATCACAGGGGTGAAGCCAGATAGATGATCTCCTTGGTGCTTTTTAGCTCTAAAATGCATTCCCTTGACATTTTAGAATAGTCCTCCCTCCTGACCAGTTTTCATAAAATTACAAAAAGCAGTAAGGGTACCTACAGTGGCAACAGACTTTTATTGACTGTTGGTTAAAGGGCTCTCTTCTAGCTCTAGTAGCCTTGAGTACTTTTCTCTCACTTTTCTCCTAGTTCTTTCCCATCTGCTTTCCCTCTATACCTTATTTTTGAGATCGTCCCACATGCTCTGGAACTCCAGCTTGCTTTCATACTCAGAATCTATACAGTTCTGTTCCATGGCCATGAAGACATCTTGTAGGTAGCGAATCTCTTTCTCATGTTGGTCAATAATTGTCTTCCTATAGGAGACAAGACACTGTCCCTGCTCTGAGGGATAAAGCATATGGACCAATAATGACCACACAGAGCAGTATATAGTAAAACTATATGAATGGTACAAACTCGTAGGTACTAAAGGAGAAAAGAGAGAGGGAGGGCTCTGTTCCTTTCAGGGCCACAAAGAATGAATAAGATTATTTTATTTTGACTTCTAAATAGGTAATACATTCACATGATACAAAAATCAAAAAGTACAAAAGGTTAGAGTAAGAGAAGTCTCCCTCACATCCCTGTCATCCCTGTTGCATAGAGACAGGGGCCTGGCATGGGTAAAGGGAAACTAAGACTGCAAGCTTAACCTGAGTTTGTTTAAAAGGAACTCAGGATCTTCTCTGCTGGGAAGCACGTCATAATCAAGGTGAGATGCTCCAACGTACTAGCCACTTGCTTATAGGCAACTCAGTGACACAGATTCTGGGCACTGCCCTGCATTTAATTCCCCATCTCTTAGGCCCCCCATACCTTTCTGTCTCAAACTCCTTGGTTAGGGCCTCTAGCTCCGTGTTGTAACTTTCCTCCAGGAGGTTAAGCCGACGCCTCTGTAGGGCCAAGAGCTGGTCAACATTGTGCAAATGGCTGCGCAGGGCATGGGCGTACTGCTCCTCGGCTTCTGACAGGTCTTTCGCTAAAGACTGGGCAGGAAAAAGAAAGTTACCATTCTAGCTGAGTGGCATCTATATGAGAAAATAAAAATGTATTCAGCTGACTGGCTGGATGGCACGATGGCATTTTTTCTTTAGTTCCTAATGCCAATTCTTTGGCTTTAGGAGTGCTAGCTCTCCCATTCACTCTTGACTATAAAGCAAGAGTAACGTCAAGGAGCCCCATGAAGCCAGCCAGTGTCCACTGTGGACAACTAACATTTACAATGATGGAGCTACTAATAAAGGGAACCAGGGATGCTTGGAGAAATGGCTGATTTGAGGTGTGAGGCAGAAAATATGTTGAACCTAGGGTGTCTTATCATACAAGATAGCAAAGAAGCTAGCTAAGACCAATAGGGTCATGTCAGAAGGAATCAGGAACCAACATGTAATGGCTCACTGTGGCAGATTTTGTTTTCTAAAGAAGAGCATAACAATATCTCCCAACCTACAATTTTCTGCAATTTGATTTTGACACTCCCCCATCAAAAGTAGAGTCTCTCTAAGGATACCCTAATCAAAAAAAAAAAGTAGAGTCTCTTCTTTGATCTCTTTGAATTTAGGCAGACTTGTGACTACTTGGATCAATAGAAAATGGTGGAAGTGGCTGGGCGCGGTGGCTCACGCCTGTAATCCTAGCACTCTGGGAGGCTGAGGCGGGCGGATTGCTTGAGGTCAGGAGTTTGAAACCAGCCTGAGCAAGAGCGAGCCGCCCCGTCTCTACTATAAATAGAAAGAAATTAATGGCCAACTAATATATAATAGAAAATCAGCCAGGCATGTGGCGCATGCCTGTAGTCCCAGCTACTTGGGAGGCTGAGGCAGTAGGGTTGCTTGAGCCCAGGAGATTGAGGTTGCTGTGAGCTAGGCTGACACCACGGCACTCACTCTAGCCTGGGCAACAAAGTGAGACTGTGTCTCAAAAAAAAAAAAAAAAAAAAAAAAGAAAAAAATGGTGGAAGTGACACTGTGCCAGTTCCAGGCATAGCCCTTGTTTGGCCTGGCAGCTTCTGTTTCCTGCCTCCTGGAATGCTTGTTCTTGGGATGCTCCCTCCAGGAACCCAACTGTCATGCTGTGA